ATTCATGTCATCTCTCATCATCAAACTTGGGCAGCTTGGGTCAGCTGGCCCTGACCCCATTGTCATTCTTGGGTCCTCTATCTTTCTGTTGGGTGTACTTGGTGATCTCAATTTGTGCTTTTATTCTCTATAGTTCCAGTCTCTCCTCTCTCTCTCTCCTTTTCTTCTTTCTCAACTTATTTTTCAAGCTCACATTCTTCTTTCTGTCTTTCTTTTGTCTGTTGATGCTCTTCTCTCTCTAGGTCTTATTGTTGTTTAACAAACTGTTGTAGGTCACCATCTTTGAGCCCTAGTCACTCACCCCTCTCTATCCACTTATCAAAGTCAGTTGACTTGGTTATATAGTGTGGTTGTGACCTTTACAATATTTTTGCTACCACTACCACTGTACATATATAGGCTTATTTCTGTTATAATTTTTGTCTTCTTCTACAGCCATTTACCAGTGTATAATCCTGGCTGGCTTGCCACTGTCAAGTTTTAGTGTATGGGCTGGATTCTTTATAGTAGGTGTCTGCGACTTGTTGGTTATAAATTTCAACGATAAACAGTACACAATTCACTTATTTTAAAATGATATTAAAACAAGTCAAACGTATATATAAATGTTCATCACAGTGTTGGTCATAGCAGTTGTATCCAGGGCTTTAAATAATTATTTTTTTCATCAAAGTCCACACGATTTGGTTCAATTATTTTAGAATAAAATTGACAAGACAAATTATTTCTTCTCTACTTTGTTATTACAATACAATCTGTGATAATTGCCACTATACACTCTTTTTGACTAAAGTCACAATCATGCAGATTAGATCTAACTAATTAATTCAAACTACATTTTGAGTATGTATTTATAGCCTGACAGTGGCCTATTGTGTTCCACACACTATGGGATATTATGATGCAGTAATGCTCAAAATGATGAGAAAAACTTGGAAGGTTCTAAGAGCATGATGCAATAATATAACAACTGCCAATTCACAACAATTGAACTATACAACATATGAATAAAAAACAGTTATGTAAACAAACCTGCAATAAACAATCACTTCTAAAAATAACTAAATTTAACACATGCACTATTCTTAAACCACCTAAATTATAACTTTTGCATTAAACTTTAAATGGTTGTGTGTATCTAACAAGCTGAGACAGTTTTATTTTTTGAACAGAGTACTTGATATTTAGAATGGGTTGTCTTCATTTGTCATAGACGCAGTAAATGTAAGGGAGTTTAAGAGAAAGCTTCATAAATATAAGTTGTAAGGACTAGATTTGAATTTTTTTTTCTAAATCAGTTTAGTGGGTGGGGTAGCTTAGATGGACCAACATGTCCCATTTCTTCCTTAAAGTTTATGATAAGCCATGATTATGAAATTACAACATTTAACCTTCATTGACTTGAGAATGTAGTGTAGTCGATTTTTGTTATTTACATTATGTCTTAAAGTATGAACTCAGAATAAAGTTAAGCATTTTAACAGTAATTATGTATTTATTACAGATTTTATTTTACTGGGCATTGTTTGATTAATGTGAAGTAGTATGGAATTTTAAATGATTAGCTATTTATTTAATTTCTGCAATCAAAGAACTGAATAGGCCTATTACTAACTATCAGAGTACATAACGTACATTAGTAGGAGACAACAAGGGACCATTTAGTCTTTTAAAGTTATCTCGTACTCATTACTGAGAAAAATATAAAATCATTTAAACTTTTTTATTTTTGATCTCCCTCATAAATTCTTATAAGGTACTGCTGAAGATAACCCATTACATAAGCTAATCACTATGTTAAAAAATAATAATTGTCTTTACTGGAGCCTAGCCTATCTTTTCAAATGGTATACTTGTCGTATTATTTTCATAATTCAGCACAAAGAAATCAGAGGCCATTGTCTTGTTTATCTCTTGGATAATCTTGTAAACCTGCATAAGATCATCTCTTACTGTTCTTTTCTTAACCTTTCTTCTAAAACAACCCTTCCATCCCAAGAATCATCCTAGTAGTCTTCCTCAGAACTTTTTTCAGTAAGTCAATATCTTTTCTTAGATATGGAGACCAAAACTGATCACATTATTCCAAATGAGTCCTAATTAGTTATTTGTGTATGAGATAATTACACCTTTTGACTTGCAATCATTATGCGTATAAATGCATAATGTATAAATACTGAATCAATGGCAAGAACAAAAAAAGTGAGAAGCAAAACTAATTTTTCTTGTATATATAGTGTACATATATATATGTAGTTTAATGAACCAAATATACATATAGATTAAACTACTAAATTTAAAATAAAAATTAAAAAATTAAAATTCACATTCGGACATTGGATTAAGAAGAAGCTTTATATTTTAGATTATTTTTATTACAGGTCGTGTGGAATTATGTGGTGATAGTGAATGTTTATCTGTTGTTTATATAGCAGAGCATTACATCTGATACAAATCTACAGCCTTTGTTGGGGGTTTTGTTTCACACCACCAGTTCCATGTGGTGAGCATGTGGATAAGAACTGATCTCACTTGGTTTTCCTCCTCTGTTGATTAGAACAATAAAGGTGAGGACTACTGTTGCATGTTATGGTTTGTACTGTAATGATATTAAGCTTTTGTGTTTAATGAAACGGTACTTGTGTTTTTAAGGAATGGTTATATTGTACTGGACTTTTTTCAGTTTAATAATTAAGGGCTAAAGTTACATCTATGTCTTATGTAAGTGTTGTACAGTCCAATGATTCCTAGAACTATAAGGAAATGTAAAATTTTAAGATACTATTAACTGTATAGATCTGGTCATAAAAACAAGTTCATTTCTCATTTATGTTATCTTTTTTGTGTCTAAGCATGTTCATTATTCATTGTTGGAATATTTTGGTCACATATAACTTAGCTTGCTGGATGACCCTGGTATTGGGTAAAACACTTAGTTGGCAAGGAATATAGCAGATATAGTGGGATTGACATATTACATTTTTCTTTACTTTCACTCATAAACTCTTATAATGTCATATAGCTTATCAATTAAAGCATCCCTCTTAAATCGCACAATTAAAATAAAAAGATATTCATAAGGCTAGTTATCATTTAAAAAAATGTACTAAAGTTGGGTAAAAAACATGATCCTTGTACATGCTGGCAAAAAAGCAATTAGATCCATCCATTATATTTATTTGGGTTGCATTTGTCAAGTTAACCATGAGTGATCTATTAGAAGTGAAAATGTTATTTCCTTCATGTACAAAATATTCTCTTCAGAAAATACATATTTGTTTAAGTAAATACATGTATACCTTTCATACATTATTTTTTTTATAAAGGCACATCACTGTTATGGAATGTAATTAATATATAAACATTTTTTAAATACTTTTGTTATTTTGTTCATTTTCTTACTGTAGAATAAAATAGTATTCTGTGTAGTAGCATTTTATTGTTCATTGAGATTTTAGGAATGTGTTTCTTTATGAGGTACTCGGAAACACCACTCACCTCCTCAAAGGTCAAAGAGCTATTATCTCATGCATCATCTGTTGAGAAAATTTTTTTCACATACTACAAGCTTCAGACAAACTCCCACCCCTACACATAATAACGTGGATCATGCTAGCCTACATATGAATATCATTAGATTATAGCCATCCATCAATAGAAGGGTGACACATCCTTCATGTGCAGTAAACATTGTGAGCACTAGTGTTCAACAAAGGCTCATTATTTTTCTCTGGAATGTTTTTCAGACATATTTTTTCTTAAGAATTAATAGAATTTATTATTTTCAACTTTTATCATTTGCAGAGTAATTTGTCTTCTCTTGTTTTCTTGATTGTGCAAAAAGAAAGTTTTAAACATTTCAGTTAGAACTTTGATTCAAATTAACTTAAATTTTATTTTTCATTTTACTCAGTTTTGTAAATTTTAGACAATGTGTTTCAATGTCTGTGATAAGAGTTCTTTGACAGTACTTTTTCTTATTGTTTTAATCCAGCATACAGATTTTGCTAAGTAATCTTCACTTTTCTCACAACACTGATGACCTAGGCCTTTGTACCACACACATACCAGGCCAATATTAAAAGAAAAAAAAACATAAGTTGGATTTATGGATCACCTTGTTTATGAATTCATGTTTCACAATCCTTAATCCTGCCAATCCTTAATAGGAGTCAGCCACTACTCTACTGATGACATTGTGTACTAGATGGTTGGTTCCATTCTAACCTCGGATTTAGGACTTCTGAACTCCTGCTTCAGCCGAGCCTGCCCCTTCTTTTGGCAAATTCGACCAACTGTTTCCCTGAACACTTTTGCTTTTGGTTCCTTCTTCCTTTCTTCCTGAGGAGGACCAGGGAATCCCACTTTTGTTCTTTACTGCTTGAATTACACTGGTATGTGTGTGCAATATTTTCTTTTTTCCATTTGTCTTTTGCTGAATGTTGAGCTACTTCATTGCACAAGCCTCAATCACTTGAATCTCTTCTTTCAGCTTGGGGGATCTCCTCTTTTCCTTCTTTTTTTTTTCACTCTTTCACTCTTCATCTATTTGTCTTCTTCTCTTACTTATTTACTGAATTTCTTCACTATCTCTTCACAATTCACATACTTTTAAAAGCTTTCCATCATGAATCATCAGCTTTACTGAGAAATTTCATATACTTGTTATCCACTTTGCCTTTGATTTTCTTCTTCCATTGTGTCCCAGTTACCTTTATTTCTGGGATGTACTTCATTGGGATGCCTTACTCTCTAACATTTTCCTTCTATCTTCTCTTAAGGATTTCTGTGTTGCAATCTTCCTTTATGATGACATTTCTTGGGATGTTTCTGACACTTTGGTATTTTGATATAGTTCATCAACAGTCATTTTTGCTCACTTTGGTTTCTTGCTTTTCTTTTCTTTCTTTCTTTTTTTTGATTTGGAGATTCCATCAGATTTCTTGATTGGATGTGACTTGTTTCAAGAGCCATTTCTTACCTCTGGATTGGTAGGAGCTCTGCTCTCTCACTTTCTTTGCTGCGGACTACTGGGTTACTTGGGTGCTTTCTCACAGGTTTTTCCTGTCCTTCCACTCTTTACTTCACCCAATTATGATGCCATGGAACAATTTTCTGACCCCCACTCTGGGATTTTATTCCTGTCTTTTTGTCTTCCATTATTTTTCTTGTCCTTCAACTACTCACATCACCTGATTAGAGCACCATGGAACAGTTCCCTGATCCTTATTCTGAGGTTTTACTCCTGTCTTTCTGTAATTCTCACAAAGTTTGGAAATTGGCAACTTATACCACTTGAGCCAACTTTGGTCATTTTATGGTTCAGGCTGGACATTTTTATGACTCTGAGGTGGGGTAGGTAACCAGGATCGATGTCTTGAATATTTTTCGCACATCCTGATGAGTCCATAATTATTTTATGGACTTACAATGCTAGAATTTGGGGCTCAATTCTTTGCAGTGAACAGAGTGTATATGACCCATTATGTTGCTTTGTGCTACAACAAACAAAAAAGCTTTGAATTTTCACACTGTGGGAAAAATGTGAAGTTTAGTATAAGTATGTATATAAGTTGCTCAAAGTCTAATTTTTTTTGTTAGTTTTTTTTCTTTACTAAAACAAATCATATGTAAGCAATTGAGTCCAGTGGGTTTTTCTTGAAGATTGCATTCTTCAGGTCTACTGTTACACTACTCAATGGATGTTTGGCCTCCACTTAGTCCATTCAGTGTGGCATTTATTGTTGTGACCTCTCTTCTCCCTCAGGAGTCATCTCATGTAGGGTGGCTAGTTCAGCTTCCCAGTTCAGTCTTGACCCTCACCCAGTATCTCATTCATTCATTTGTTTAAAGGTCTTTCCTAATTCTTTTAATGCAGAATGGGCTGATGCTTTTTCCTTGCACCTTTGGGACATTGAGCTTCTGATACTAAGGATCTCGGGTATCCTTATTATTGTGCATGGGAGGATTTGTCTCTATTGTGGACTCTGGCCAATCAATGTAATAAATCCAGAGATTCTCTGTCTTTCTCTCTTACTTTTTACCTGTTGCTGTTATAGTGGATGACTCAATTCCACACAACCCTGGACATCCTCCCCCCCCCCAGCTCCCCAGACTTGCATCTGTTCAACACCCCCCCCCCCCTTAATGCTCAAATATTTGGGTTTACAAACCTGTAGTGAGCTCAGCATATGTTGCACATTGTGTAGCTTTGCACTTGACAACAACCAAGACCTGATGCATTTCTGTTCAGACAGGATGTAGATCTGGATACCTGCTCCATTTTCTAAGCCTGGTCTCCAGAGGAGCAGTCTATATATCAACATCCTTGAGATGTTGGCTACTTCATAAGCTTGCCATTATCTTTTGATTTATTTGTTGGTCTTGTTATCATGAAAAATTTTTTTTTCAATCTACTGACATCAAGGCATTCACTCTTGGGAACCTTGTTTTCTTTTCTCTAAGTGTTCTATTTCAGGCCCTTGACCACTGTGTTCAGTAGCTTACTCATTTCAAATTTTTACTGTTATAGGTCATTTTGTACATAACTTCTCCATCTCTCCCCCAGCCATTCTCCTTTTCTCTCTGATTTTTATGGATTTCTTTTGAGCTCTTTTCATCAGTGTTCCTCCTTGTCTGGTTCCTCTTCTAGTCTTCAATGACTGTTTAGTTCACAGGACTCTCACATGTACCCCCTTTGAATTGTTGGCCACCTGTTCCCTATACCATCTTTCTCTTAAGGCATATTTTCTTCTTCTTACTTGTGGTATTTGTCACTCAGAAAGTTTTGCCTTGCATGCCCTCTGCAATCTTTACCACAGGGACTGGTTAGTATTATTCCCTTACCACTCCTTCCTCCCCAAAACACTTCTACTTGAAAGGGTGATTGGATGTTTTCTACTATCAACCTCCATTCTCTTTCTTCCTTTTATGATCATTCCAACCCCTATTGTCTCTTTTGCCCCTTGTGAGCTGTTCGTTGTTACCTCCCTCAAACTGCCATCTTTAAAGGCAAATGACATTGCCTTTTCTTGTTGTGGGATTCTTCTTCCCCTTGTAACTTATCTCATTTCACTTTGACCAGTTGGTTTATACGTAACATGTGGTTAGTTTATTCTTCTATGGGTAATGACACTTTTTATATTTTTCATGTCTCCTCCCATCAAATTTTTCATCTCATGGGTTTGTTTGGCCTCTAGCCATCAATGTTCCCTGGATGAGATCTTGCAGGGGACATTCCCTTTGTGTCACATTACTTATGCCAAATTGGAGTTTCTTCTGCTTCTGGTTTTTATATCCCTTCAATTCTCACAGAGACTCAGAGTAGGTGGGTTGTTAATTATTTTTATTTTTCTTATAGGTCTTAAAACCACCTTGTTTATTTATATTGTGAAGACCATGGAACCTGCCATGTTGCTGAAGTTGTCTCATAGGAAATACTTCTCCCCTATTTGATGAGGAATTTGGGAGAAGGAGAGAGCGAACACACACACACACACACATTGTTCAGCTTATCTGTCCCTACTTAGTGCCCATTGTTGAGATGAGGTTCTCCAGAAGACTATTTATTTATTTTACTTCCAGTCATTCTACTTTATGTAAATTCCTCCTTCCTATTTTCTTTTAGTGGAGTAAAGTGAGAACCCTTGCTTTCTCTGTTCTGAGCTGCTGGGTTAGTGTAGTCTCACTGGCATGAGACAGAGTCAGTGCATCCCCTTGATTGAAGTAGGGGTGGGGTGTCACCTGAAGTGCATTATAAGTTATCCCACTACACTATAAACCTAGCTATTTCCAGTGGTTATGCCAACCAGATGGGTCTTGTGTTCTCCTTAGGATGCATGTCTGGGATAATTTCTCCCTGCGTATTATAAGTATCTATTTCAAATAAATATTTCTCTAATACTGTGTGGCCTGACTTATTGTCTCAGTCACACTACACACTTGTGCTCAGCTGACCACCTGTGAGGTAATGGCTGGTTATGCTATCTTTCATTCCACCAATCTATGTGACCCTTTAGCATCATGTAGAAGGTTCTTTTGACAGTACCTTTTGCTCTCTCTTATTTATTGGGCAATGAATATTCCCTTCATGATAAGGATTTAGTCTTCCACTGAGTGATGCCTCATTGGGTCCCATTCTACTGGTGGGTGACACACTCCATGGATTTTTGTTTTCTGTTTTTATAACTTCAGAAAGGAGCTCATCTTTTTAATTTCTTTACTTACACTAGCCCTTCCACCATCTTATCAATGTGGGATTCTAGCTCTCAGTTCTGGGGAGAGTTGAGTAGTATTTCTTAACATTTTGCTTACCTGAAAATGTATTTCAGATAGATCCTCACCTCTCTACAGTACCTCCCACTTCTTTCCCACTTCTAGTGTGTGTCTTTTGCCTCATCAAGGATGAGGCTTTGTTGAAATGCTAGTGCTCCTGGTGTTTATTACACATGGAGGACTTGCTGCCTTCCTTTTGGTAGAAGGCTATGATCTAATAATAAGCACATCATCGGCTGATGCAATACATGTTGATACATATAAGGTTGGGAGCTTTATTCAAGGCTTGTGGCATGTGTAGTAATTTACATGAAAGTACACATGAAATAATAGCTCCAGGTGGTACAGAGAAGTGAGTATCTATCTGAAATACATTTTCACATATGGAAAATGTTAATTTTCCTGCTTTGTTGTCATAATATCAATAGACCTTTCCATGTTCAGATTTAAATAATGTGAAGCTGACAAAGCAAGTTTAGTTATGCTTTTATCTGGCTTACTGGTGATTTTTGACTAAGATTTTGGACTTTGTTAGTTTCATGCTGACATATCTTATTGCCTTAACTTTGAATTTCTTGCAGTTGTTTATGTGTTTATTCATTGTTGTAGCACTGAAGGCTATAATTTTTCTGCACTACTCTCAACTAAAAAATTTAGTTTTTGACCTAGTTTATTTGTAGGAAATACTTCTTAATATTACTTTTATTATTGCTCACTCTTACTGAATAGTTTGTGTTACTTTCACAGTCAAATTATTTATTTTATACTTAAAAATACTGCAGTACTATAAAAATCTGAAAGCTGCTAAGACATTCCTGTAGGCCTGTGTATTTGTCAACAGAATGAACTTGAATATTGTCAGCTGTTCATTGTTGACTTAGTAAATGCTGATTCCATCTAATGAATGGAGGGAACACTATTTACAAAATAGTTCAAGTTTCTCTTATTAGATGGCAATACCATTCACATAATGTTTTTGGTGATTTGTTAAACTGATTGCCAACTGTTGATGCTACCTATTGACTATAGGCCTTGTCTGTGCATGTCATGTAAAAATTTATTAAAAGTTAAATTCATGATACACTTCGATAGCACCTATTGCACAGTTTGCACCATATCGTACAATCAAGATTTAAAAAAAATTAAAGTTTGTAATATTACTGATATTATTATTGGATACTGTTAACTTTCAATTACTTTTACCAGGAATATTTATTATGAAAGATGTTAGAAAATGAAAACTAGGGCCCTCATTGAATAAATAAAAAACTTGATAATGTGATGCTGTTAAACCTCTAATCTTGAAATTACAACTAAATTAGTATACCTTCTAAAACTTTCTGAAACATTTGGAAATTCATTAAAGAAACAAGGAGATGTGTTAATTTTCTAGAAAATTTGCTAATTCTTGTTCTTAAATATATATTTCTTTATTGAATGATTAACAGGTCAACATTTGGAAATATTGCTAGTAATAATTAATGTTGGCATTGGACACCTATTTAGTGTTGATAATTTATTTTTTGAGAAACATGTTATACATAACTTTACAGAGCATAGGTATAAGTATAACAGTAGGGCTTAGTTTTTTTTTGTTGTCTCTTTGTTTTTGTTATTATTACTTATTTTTTGAACAATTTGTGACAGCCACTATTTACTTACAAGTTATTAGATTACTATTCTTGAGTTACCTCTTCATTAACTTCAATTTTGCTTGAGCTTTCATACTTAGTAATCTCATCTTCCTGTGCTGGATCCACTACTGCTAATGCTGATACACTGCCAGATGTTTTTCTTTATTTTTTATTCATGCTGATGCTTTTTCTTTGTTACCATTATCCAGAACCTCATACTCAAAAAAGTGAGAATTATAGTCTCATTAACACATTTAGCTGTTTTGTCACATTGTGAGACAGTTTTTTGGCTAGTAAACATATTCCAAATACTATTACAAGCATCTCAGTAGGTAAAAAAAAAAAAAGGATAACTGTCAACCTTCTCAAAGCTTTTTCACCATGTTAATGGTGCAGTGATGCTAATTGGCTTCTATAAAACTGTAATGTTGTATTTAGGTCCATCATCATATTCAGCTAAATCACATTAATCAATTGCAGGATTCACATTAGGGATGTGCTTTGGTCTTCTCATCTTTTTCTGGGTCTCTGTACTTTGGGTTCAACATGAAAGCTGTTGGTTAGATAGAATGAAGGCAAAAGGTCTGTGTTCTGATGGTTGGGAAATGCTACCAAATACTAAATTTTAGCTGTTGCCAAAAGTTTCCCTAATGCTGTCCCATCTTTTTAAAGTTAGGAACCACCTTAAACCTCGTTGGTTTGTCACCAGTGAGTTTTGTGATTGCATGCGAGATCAATTGCAATAGGTACAGCACTCCATCTTTTTCCACCTGGCTGCTACAGATTGATTCCTTTGAAGAACGTTTCTTTCACTTTGTCAAATATTTTCTTCATTGAGTAGCATTGTTGGCATAAGTTTTGTTACAAAAGGTGTACTCGCCAATTACTTTTCAACTCATGTTTCCTCTCAAACTAACTCTGGGTCTCACTTGATGGCTTGGACATTTTTATAGTTTTTAGACTCTTCAATAAAGCACAATGTAATGATCTTGGATCTTAATGGAGATGGAACCAAATATTTTCTAGACCTTTCTTAAACACAAACCCTTTTCTGTGAAACCAATCACAGATTACAATTAACATACTCTCCTTCTTGTGTTTAACACTTTCTAAAATAGACTACCTGAGACTTCTAAGAAAATACTACTAATGCTTATAGGGTAGTTTCAAACATTTCATACTTTTGACCCTATTACCTAATAAGAAAGCAACAAAAAGGCAAATACTGTAACATGAAATCTCAAGAAAACACAACTATGGTAACTTGCATCCCATAATAAATTAATTTCAACTGAAGAATTTTGAGTAGCTTATTTTCCATGACCCATAAATTAACAACTCAGTCTATTTTGACCACAATAATTATAAATTAAGGCTGATCTTTTCTATAATTGCTAAAAATTATTTATAAAGAAAAAAGAAATATGAGTAAAAATGAAAACTTTTTTGACATTTCTAACAGCCATTCTTGAGGGGTTTAGTTAATTCACAAAACTTAAGTATTTGCAGTTATTTTAATTCTCCTATATATTTGCTCATTTTTGAATAAATAGAAGTTTAATTCATCAGAATTAGAATTATTTGATTCAGACTGACAATAAGTGACACATGTAAAAAATGGGTCATCTGAATGGTTTGAATTGTTTTTAGTTTAGGATAAAATATATAAAACATTTTTTGTCATCAAAATATCCAATTCAATAAAATATATTTTTATGTTTTTCACTTCACCAGAATCTTGCTGTTTAGCTATTGCTAGTTTATTCTCATCATAAGATGGTTAGACGTCGAGAAGTTGAAGCTGACAACCTACTTGTGGGAGGAAGACCTTTACTTCCTGAATCCTCAGCTCCTTCTCAGGTATGTACACAGTCTTATTTTGAATTTAAGAAACACTGGAAAGTTTCAGAAATCACTCTTAAGTTTTGAGTAGTTTTTCATATACATATTACTTTTCTGCATCATAATGCTTAACTATATGCATATCAAATCTTCCACACGAGCCTTTCATATTTTAATTCCTCTCAAATGTGGTATATATTCTTACTCATGTAAGTGATATTTTCCTCACAGATGACATTCTTAACACCATAATTCATACCTATGTAAGTATGAAATCTTCCATAAGATGACAGTTTGTAACTCAAACTTTTAATAAAGAATTTTGTATAATAAATATTTTATATTTATAAAGTATTACACTAGCCCAATTAAAAACAACAAATAGTCCACCTATTGATTTGAATAACTCGTACAAATTATTTCACTTTCCCAAACAATACTGGACTCGGGTCTAACTACGCAGTTTTTAGGCTACACAATCAGGTTATTTCTCTAATACTGGACTTAGACTCTTGATTCATTCAGTGAAGAAACTAGAAGAGTCCCAGAAACTTTGCTTACTGTGCCATATATCTAACTCTTAAAACTGATTCCAAAACTCAACTGGAAAAACTGATTTACATGAGATTTTGCTAAACAACAGTAATGCATACAGTTTACATCAGATTTTTTACCAAATGACACTAAATTCATACGGAGTCTTCTCTCATGTTATTTACAAGACAAACAATTGTAATGCAAATTTTTTCAACAAACAATAATTTAATTCAGAAAAATGTAAAAACACAACATAATTTGAATTGTTTAAAATACTTCTCCCTGCCTAAATTTTAATTGACCTAGTGAAATTACAAATATTTAAATAACAAAATAAAAGTTTACATTATTCAAAATGTCCATTTGTTCTCTCCCACCCCAACTGGTGAGGTTGTCTTCACTTTGAAGTAGACCTCTTTCAAAGCACATACACTTCACCTCCAGGTAGGGATGAAGTGACTGCAGGTGTTGTTGAGTAATGGGCACTGTCTTCATTAAATTCACCTGTAATGTCAACTCCTTCACCAGACCAAGTCCCCTGCATTAAAATGACTTGCGTGAAACTTACCATTATATTACTGCTTCATTTATTTCTCCACCTTAGCTGAGGTTCTCTTGGATGTTGGTGTACTTCTGTCAGTCATTCCTGCAGATTTGTCACCAAGTCAGTACTGTTATATGGTAGGTATACATCCTTTGGTCTCCTTATGATCAAATCAACTGGTAGTCAAATTTCTTGTCCATTCTCATTATAGTGAGTATGTAACCTGTAGCTTCATGCACAAAAGTTGTGAAAGCCATTAGTAGTGCTAGTAGTGTCAGATTCCTATTCAAATGATTTTATTCATTAAACTTGACAACTTATCTGCCTAATAATTGGTTGAAATGGTCTACCATTTCACCTGATTGCAGATGTAATAGTGTTTTCCTGGTTTTCTTTATATCCAGTAATTCTTTAAATACTGCTGCCTCAAAACTGGTCAGAATGAAGTTTCATAGGTAAACTAAATAATATGAAGAACTGGTCGTCAACCAACATTTGTTTCTTGATTTGAAATTGTATAAGCTTCTGGCCACTTCATTAAATAATCCATAGCTACCAGTATATACTTTTTTCCAGTATCAGCTTTTGGCAATGGTCCCTTGATGTCAGTTGCTATTCTCTCCATTGATGCTCCGTCCAGGCACAGTTTGAGTGTTGCTTTCCTTGTCCCTATCTTTGCAGCACATACTACTGTATATGCTCAACATCTCTTCTTATGCCACTCTAGTAGAACCTTTCCCACAGTTGACCAAGTGTCTTCTTCATTCTGAGATGCCATCATGTGACTCGCATAAAATAGCTGCTTGCATTGGAATTGAAATGACTGATTGCCAGTATTCTTTTGTTTCATCAGTATTTTCTGTCTTCTTTAATGAAATGAAAATTAAAATCAAAGAATATTTGTTATTTAACTATATTTAGGAGTACAGACCTGACATTATTGTTTGGGTGGGTTTTTAATAATGAATGTGGAGTGATTCAAGAAGCCTGAAGTCTATATTGTTTGCAGCCTGTCCAATTATTTTGAAATTTTCAATGGTTGCAGGAGTTCGTCAAATTTGTACATGTTCCCATATCTGAGAGGGGTCTGGATGAGTAAGCATCGTCTTGTAGAACAGGGAGGCCCCTTACTCATTCAGGTCAGGTCTGTACTCCTAAATATAGTTAAATAACAAATTTGCTTCAATTTTCTTTGATTTTAATTTAATTTTAATTGCCTTTATTTAATTATATCTATACTTATACATATTTAAAATGCATCTAGGTGTTTGCTTCAAATCATACGCATTTATATTCAATCTTAATTATCACTGAAGATGGGCTAAGTGTCCAAAACGTTTGAGATTTATCTTTTTTCACTGTGTTTATTGTTTCTGTTGTATAATAAAATATTTAAACAATTACATATGATGATTTTGTGGGTCCTTTTATTTGTATTGAGATAAGAACCCACTTACTCAGATTATAATAGCAATGTAAAGTCCATAAATATTTTGCAGGTCCCTCAATTTTGCGGGCCCTGTGCGATTGCACTTTTCAAACATAACTAAGGCCATCACTGGTTTTATTCTGATCCCATGGATGGAAAAGTTGTGCAAAAGGGCTGAGTCTATGAGTGCTCTGTAAGGCTGGTTTTCTTTTCATGTGTGATATGAACTGGTTGGAGAATATTAAAATACAGTCTGTTCAAGTTGAGTGTCTGTGCCTACTCTCCTCTCTAATTTTGCCTGCTTTTTCTATCACCCAGCTAATGTAAGACTTCAGTCTAAAGTTGTACTTGTTTTTCTGAGTCTTTACTCTGTTGTTGGGCCTGTTGTTATAAGGCTTCTTGTAAATTAGTCTTTTGTCCTTGTATGGCAGTTTGAAAAATGTTGACCCTTTCATCTTGCTGATAGTCATCTCATTGATTTGATTCATCATTATTTTCGTTTGGTGGTTTACCTTCTGAATAAACTTTATTTGCTGATTTATTACTGTTACTTGTTGATCTATCTTTTCATAACCTGCTGTTTTTGTTGGTTTTTAATTAGGGCCTGTTGATCAAGCTTTTATATTAAATTCATGCATTTGCTAATTTGACTGTTGAATTTGTTGACACAACCCTTGAACTTGTTGATTTGTCACTATATCTTGTTGATTAAATTTTTAATTTTCTGATTTGTGACTACAGTCTTAGTCTATTTGCAGCATTAACTAATTTACCACACTGTTGATATTCTTCCTTTTCAACTCCTGCAGCTTTCATTGCTGTAGTCTTCATGATTGATGCTTGCTCCTTGGGGTTAGTCATTTTTCAATATTTCGAATAATCTTTTCTTAAACTTGAAAAAGACAAAGTTAAAATTCCATTTCTGACACTATTTTGTTATGATGGTCTGATTAAAATAACGATAAACAGACTCTGTATGAACTTGAATAATTAGTTTGTTAGCAAATTGTACAAAATATTTTGCTTCCCAAAAAATACTAGAATCAGGCATAGCTATGCAGTTTTTTAACTACTCATTCAAATTATTTTTCTGACAGCATACTCTTGACTGGATCACTAAAGAGACTCTAAGATTTTGCTTTCCCAGTTATACATCTAACTGTTAATCAAAACTAATTCCAAAAGACTGAAAATATTGATTACATAAGATTTCACCAAACAATGCTAATGTATACAGTTTAAATCAAATTTGTACCAGACAGTGCTGAATGCATTTAGTGACCTCTCTCCAAAATTGCTCACAAGACAGATATATTCTCCAAAATCACTTACAAGACAGATAATTGTAATACAAATTTTTCAACAAACAGTAATATAATTCAAATACATGTAAAAATAAAACACTTATTTTTGTTGTGAATAATTAAAGTTATTACTTAAAAATTAAAGAATGATGTTTATCTTAATAGTACACAGTGATTAAAATACAAAATTCAAATACTTAAAAAGATATTATGCATTAATTTATTTATTTAGCACCAAAAATATTAAATGTACCTTTCAACTATGAGGAAAATTAAAATATAAATATTTATTTAAGATAATTTTTATTATTTTTAAGTTAAATGTGATTAAAAACATTACTAACTAATTAATGTTATTAACATGGATGACCTAAGCGATCTTGAGTTAATTGTACTTAATATTTATTGTATTGCAGTAAACAGATGTAAAAATACTAACGTCAATTACAGTTGTGGTACTTTCATATAGCTCTGGGAGATTAATTTGATTACTTCAAATATTTTGATAAAAAATGATCAACTAATCAAAATGGTTGTTTTCTGTTACTCCAACTATCCAAGTCTTGTGTAAGAATAATCGGTTAATTGAATTTAATCAGTTAATGGGCCTGATGAGTGATAGGTTATCAAATTCCACTAATTGGCTAGCTCTACTTCCAGGTATACTTCCAGCAAATGTACACTGGAGTTAAATCTGAATTCTCTAGCTTCTAAAGATTTCTAGACTTGGATGTTGTGATTTTGCTAGAGACACAGTCAAAGCTATATCTCCAACAACATTTTTCATGAGAATACCCAAAAATATCTAAGTGGGACAAATTCCTTGATCATGCTCTAGCAACTGAAATAAGGTCAATACTGCAAAAGGTGCATTTCTCCTATGTGAAAGTCAGTAAGCACTCTAAAAGAATGTGTATCTCAATTTTGGTGAACTAAATAATAATTTAAACTTTCTAAGCCAAGAAAGAAAGGAAATATGGTACTTCTCCAACTACTGCAAGTTTTCTAAGTCTGAAAATATATAATTGTTTGAAAAAAATATAGTGGCTTTACAAACCTTTTTAGTTATTTGTCCTTAACATCCACTATGGGTTGAACATAAAGGTTGTACATATTAGATGTCCAAAATAATTAATGTGGTGTTAGGTATGTGTAAAATTGTAGTTTAGAATAAATGAGTTGTTTTTTAATATATAGAAATTGAAATCTAAAATGACTTCTAACATTTACTACTCTGTTCACTGATAATCTTAGAACCAGTTACTGATTTCCAAAATATGTTTAGTCATTACTGAGGCCAAACTTTTATCTATCTAGCAGGAATGTGGGAATTGAACTTTAATTTTACATACTGAAATAATTCTTCTTTGCTTCAGGAGGATCATGATGACTGCAATAATATAATTGTATCTACTGAAAATTTAGGTACCACACCTAGCCATGTTCATCAGGTAAACATTTACTTATAATTTTTTTTGTGTTGATAGTAAATTATATATGATTTTACACCCTTTTGAGTATGTATTAACAAGTGTTGCTGAAATGTATGCTTGGAAAAGTGTCAACATTGTGGTTTTGTAATGTAAGTTGTAGTCCTCTTCGTAATGTGGGGGGGGGGGGCATTTCAAACTTCATTAAGTTATTCAAAAATGGAATTAGGAATAGGAAAGTATGAATGACATCACTATATGGGTAAGGGAGGTAGTGGGTGAAGGTATAGATATTTGTTCTCATTTGTTTCTTGCATACCTGCTACCTGCTTACAGAAATATCAGTTTAGAGTTACCTGTTACATAGATCTTTAACTTAAATGATTCCTTAATTTTTGATGTCAGAAAAACACATGGGTTCAAGAAGTCTTGATAGAAGATGATAAAAAATTTATATAGTTTGAAAGTAAAATGTTTTGTCAGAAGTCACTTGATACAATATCCAGCACACAATGAGCTTGTAAAGAAATTTTGTACTATGTTCTTGTTTATATTATCATGGTGTCTTTCCTTTTTTTGTTGGTATCTTGTATTCTTATGCCTAACTAACAATGTGAACTTAAGTAAAATGTCTTAATGTATTTGAATAGGCATTGTGAAGTTTGACATCAAAGGGAAATAGATGAGTAATAAACATTGTCAAAATATTTCTTGTGAAAATATGCATAACACCAATTTTAGATTAAATAATGTTTGTTTAGGATGTAGTTAGCATGCATTAAATGAAAATTGCTTGTTTTATAAATTGAACAAGATGCATTTTTTTATTTTTTTCCTCACTGATTTTACTAAAGAAAAATAAACATGAAATTAAAATTAAATGGTTCTGGAAATGAAATTATTCTGATTATAGTAACCTTTGGGCTATATTTGGATAGTCCATAGAAAACATTTTTTTAGTGTAGTATATCAGTTATGTAAAACTTTTTGCATAATAGGATGGAAATATAAGAAACACAAACCAAAGATATTCTTCAGCTTTTCATACTATGCATAGTAGCCTGATGGAAAATAATAACTTGAATGGAAATGAGTCAGGATCATTGATATGGAGTAATGGCTCAAGCCATAATATGTCTTCCTTATACCATAGAGACTGGCCAATTGATAGAGGTATGTTCTGTGTTAAGTCATAATTCACATGTATAGTTAATAGATTTTGTTTTAATACATTTAAAATTTCTAAAACCTGAATGAGGGTCAGGTCAGAATGTTGTTCCATCTTTGAGAGTTTTACTATTTGCAGGTTGTTGATTGAAGTAAACAACAAAGGAATTTAGTCAAAGTGAAATCATAGTCAAGAAAAGAAAAAAATTGCAGCATACGCATAGTTTATAACTTATCTGGAGCCAATACTTATAATAGAACTAGCATAAAGCCCATCAAAAATGACTGGGCAAGTACTACTACCCCCACCCCATAGTATATTCTAACCTCACATTTCACAGCTAACTGAAATAAACAAATTTTACCAAATCAAGGTTGACCAACAAAGAGGCAGAAAAGTGCAGTTGAGGCAGTCAAACTTTGGTAAATTCCTCTGTGAGACAATCAAAATTAAAATCATTCATGAAATAAATTTGTTGCATATTCATAGAATAATTATTGGTAAAAATCAATTAGATTAACAACTTCTACTATATAGAAAAGCCAGTGCATTTTGGTAACACTATGTTCTAACAATGGCTTTTCTGTATTACCTAATATTGTTGTTAGTCTATCTACTGAAAGTATAAAATGAAATGTATAGACAACAAAAGTGGAAAAATATTTGTTGATTTCTTAATTTAATTTAAAACATTGGTGATAGAACAGAAAATAGCTTAATTCAGAAACGATTTAAGTTTAAAATTTTGATTGGCTCACAAAGGAATTTACTGACGTTTGAATGCAATGACTGTATTTTTCTACCTTTTTGTTGGCCATCATTTATTTTGTAAAATTTATATATTTCAGTTACCTATGAAATGTGAGGTTAGGGTATACTAAGTGGCGGGGGTGTTAATACTTGCCCCATCATTTTTGATGGATATATGCTAGTCCCATAATACTTAAAGCACACTATAACAACCCATAATAGTTAAAACACTATAACATCCCATAATAGTTTTGTTGCTAAGCGACAATGTATATTGTTGATCATTACCAAAAAAAGAAAGTGTGAAACCATTTTCAACAGTATAACATCCTATAATAATTAAAACTACCTTATAGCATCCCATAATAATTAAAACTACCTTATAGCATCCCATAATAATTAAAACTACCTTATAGCATCCCATAATAATTGAAACTACCTTATAGCATCCCATAATAGTTAAAACTACCTTATAACATCCCATAACAGTTAAAACTACTCTATAACATCCCCATAACAGTTAAAACTACTCTATAACATCCCCATAATAGTTTAGAAAAAATCACTTCCCATAATAGTTAAAACTGTAACATCCCACAATAGTTTTGTTGCTAAGTGACGATATATATATATCGTTGAGCATTACCAAAAAAAAGTAGTGAAAGAGTTCTCGACAGTATAACATCCCATAATAGTTAAAACTACCCCATAACATTCCATAACAGTTAAAACACTATAACATCCAATAATAGTTTTGTTGCTAAGCGACGATATATATATTGTTGAGCATTAATAAAAAAAGGATCATGAAAGCATTCTCGACAGATTGAAAAAGGGAATAAGGCGTATTTATAGAATAATTAGTGGTAAAAATCAGTTAGATTAACAACTTCCAATATATAGAAAATAGTTTAGTTCAGATCCAATTTACGTTTAAAATTGAATCAGTATTTTTACTTTCATGATAAATTTTATGCACTTGACTCTAAGCTAGGTGATCCCACACTACATCTTTACTTTAAGCTTATTATACCAATACTCACTACACTTTTAAGGTTTCATGACTCCCTTGCACCCCTGTCACTAAATTCATAATGAGCAGCTTGTAATTGATCTATTCTATCTGGATAAATGCATTTTGGCTTTTATGACTCTCCTATTTTCAGAAATCAGACATAACGTGACACACACACTGGCTTTTATATAGCTCAGAAGATTGATTATTCCTATTTTACTTGGATTAACATTGCCTACACGACCCTTTTAAAATGTTGCTTGTACAGGCATATAATAAAACTTTGTGTATAGATAGAAAGATATCTTTGCGCTTTTAATGAAAGTGAGACTTGTTTTACAATTTTTTTTAGCATTTTATAACTGTATGAATTTCTGTCGTAATTTGTGCAATTTCTCTACTTCCACGTTTTATGGAGAAATAAACTGGATTTCAGGTGGAAAGTTTTCTTTTTCTTCATTCATCATTATTGTAATCAAAACAGTATTGTTTGAGTAACATTTATTCATCCATAACACTAAATTGATTGGTTGCGAGAAGCATTATATATATATTAACATATTCCTCGATGTAGATAGTTGTCAGTAGAACTTGAGAGATTTTTTTTTTAGTGATGGCAAACAGTGGACCAACTAATATTTCTGACATCAACTCTCCTGGAGTTAGCTTTACTCCTGATATTTCTTCCATAATGAGTCTCAGTTCCATTACTTCAACTGCAACACAACGATTACCTCCACAACAGCTAGGAACTAAGGTTGGTGGTTATTCCCTTATGTTAGTTTGCCAGTGAACTAGTATTAATATGTTTTCGTAGTTAAAATTTTGTGGAATATGTTTTAACCACACAATTAATACATATTAGTGGTGGATCAATATTTATGGAATGAATTTTTTCATTCCTAATGTGAAGAACATATGTGTACTCAGACATGCCATGGTAGCAGAACTTTATTGGTTGTAGCTGTGTGTCAATACATTAAGTGTAAATCTTGCCAATTTTCTGTGTGAGACTGTTTTAGTGGATGATTAAGTTATTAAAATTTTTCTTTATTCACTCAGTAATTTCATATCTCATGAACTTTGTACGTTTGTCACCATATAAATCACGTAGTTGTTACTTAACAGTATTGTTATTATTGTAGATTATACAAAACGGGTTAG